TAATAATTTTCCAATTTATTTAAAAACAATAATATTTTATATAAACAATAATTTTTTTAAAAAACATCAATATAATAAACATAATCAATATATTAATTATATATAAATTATTTATATTTATTCATAATAATTTATCATTTTTATATTTATTAATAATATATATATTTATTTCAAATTAATTAATAATTTATTTTTTTAAAATATTTATTAAAATTATAAATTTAATTTAATTCTAATATATTATAATTTTTTAAATTATTTATATTTATTATTATAATTTAATAATATATTTTGCATAATATTTTCTTTTTAATATATAATAATTTTTTAAATTAATATTTATTTTTATATAATTAAATAATTAATTTAACTAATATGTATTTGTTTTTTTAAAAATATTATTAATATTAAATCCTAATTTATCTAAAAAAAAAATATTATATTTTTATTTTTCAATTTAATTCCGAATCTATATAAATAATTAAATAATATTATTATAATATATATTTTATCACATCCAATTTAAATAACTAAATGAATAAATATATTTTAATATTTTTTAAATTATATATATATATATTTTTTTCATAAATAATATTAGTCCTAAATAATATATTTAGAAACAATTTCATTATCAATAATACCGCGCAAGGCGGTAGCGGAAATTTCAAAAATAGGAAATCTATAGGAGAGATTGGCTGTCGTAAATCAGGGATGGCAGAGCGAATCCATTAATGGACCGAAAAGTGCTTGAGGTTTCCTCTCTTTCTCTCTTTTTCTCTAATTATCTATTTACCTATCAACCTATCTTTTCGGTATCTATCTATCTATCTATCTATCTATCCATCTATCTATCTATCTATCTCTCCCTCTTTCATCTGTCTAGCTGTCTACCTATCTACCTATCTATCTATCTACCTATCTATCTGTCGACCTGTCTATCTGTGGTGCAGTGTCATGCAGTGTAATGTAGTGTAGTGTAATGTAGTGTAGTGGAGTGTAGTAGAATGTAGTGTAGTGTAGTGTAATGTAGTGTAGTGTAGTTGTGTAGTCGTAGTTGTAATGTAGTGGAGTGTAGTGTAGTGTAATGTAGAATTGTAGTGGAAGGTAGTGTAGTGTAATGTAGTGTAGTGGAGTGTAGTGTAATGTAGCGTAGTGTAATTTAGTGTAGTGGAGTGTAGTGGAGTGTTTTGTAGTGGAGTGTAGTTGTGTAGTTGTAGTTGTAGTTGTAGTGTAATGTAGTGGAGTGTAGTGTAGTGGAGTGTAGTGTAGCGAAGCGATATCTGAACCTCCAAAAGTGGCGCAAACATGTTGTGTTTTGTACATTTTAACTTCGAAATGTGCTTCGCACCACAACGGCGTGCACTTTTTCGAGATCTGAACCTCCAAAAGTGGTCCGAATGGTGCGTTTTGTACATTTTGACTTCGAAATGTGCTTCGCGCCACAACAGCGTGCACTTTTTCGACATCTCAACTTCCAAAAGTGGTCCGATAATAGTGAGTTTTGTACATTTTGACTTGGAAATGTGCTTCGCGCCACAACGGCATGCACTTTTCAACATCTCAACTTCCAAAAGTGGTCCGATAATGGTGAGTTTTGTACATTTTGACTTGGAAATGTGCTTCGCGCCACAACGGCGTGCACTTTTTCGACATCTCAACTTCCAAAAGTGCTCCGAGACCCAGGTGTTTTGTACCTTTTCCCTTGGAAATGTCCTTCGCGCCACAACGGCACATTCACAAGTCAAAATGTTAAACACACCAGGGTTCGGACCACTTTTGGAGGTTCAGATATCGCTTCGCGTGGCAGGCGCAAGGGATTTTGTACCTTGTCAAAAGTAAGCAAAACGTGAGGGTTTTGAAGCATTTTCAAGTACAACCACCACTACACCAGACTACACTCCAATACATTACACTCCACTGCATTACACTACAACTACAACTACAACTACACAACTACACTACACTGCACTCAATTTCACTCAATTACACTACACTACACTACATTACGCTACACTACACTCCACTACACTACACTACATTACACTACACTACACTACCTTCCACTACACTTCACTACATTACACTACACTACACTCCACTACACTACATTACACTACACTACATTACACTGCATGACACTGCACCACAGATAGACAGGTCGACAGATAGACAGATAGATCGATAGATAGATAGATGGATGGATGGACAGGTAGACAGCTAGACAAATAGACAGATAGACAGATGAAAGAGAGAGAGAGAGATAGATTAGATGGATGGATGGATGGATGGATAGATAAGATAGATAAGATAGATAAGATAGATAAGATAGATAAGATAGATAAGATAGATAAGATAGATAAGATAGATAAGATAGATAAGATAGATAAGATAGATAAGTAAGATAGATAAGATAGGTAAGATAGATAAGATAGATAAGATAGATAAGATAGAAAAGATAGATAAGATAGAAAAGATAG